GGAAATGGAGTCTGCTCTTTCGTATGTAGACAATTAGTGGAGGAATAAACACGATAAACGGTTCATTTCGTGGTTTGTCAATATAGGTCGATAGAGTGAGAGACCATTTCCTTGTTGACGGACACAGTGATGCATTCATACATAATCTCAGCAAACCCGATTTCAGCTGGTAAATAGAGGATGGTGAGTCCGGAAAGCAGCTGAAGTACTAACAGACTTACGTCAAATTTGTGTGAACGCCTGTGGACAGGTTCATCCACCATGACCAATGACGGAGTCTGTCAATCGGTCATTCGTTGATGTACTGTTTATAGCAAATTTAAGTCGAAAATAACAAAATGGTTACTGTTTTAGAACAGGATATTTCAATCGTCCCAAAGGACCTGCTGTTCCAACTAAGACCTTTCATTGTTTCCCTCAATTGCTCTTGCTCAGGGGTAACCAAACTGCGGTTCATCATAAATATCAGTCCGGCCTGGTTTTCTTTTGCGTTTGCTCTTAAATAGTAGGCCTACTACAGCCTATTGGCGCTGTAAAAATAAAACCATCGAAATATTTACGGAAATGAAATTGTTGATGTAGTCCTGCTATAAGTTACTGTACCTAAGAAAGTCGATTGGAGCCTTCTCAAAATGAGGTTAAACAAGTGAGAACACAGCCAAAATTGTGGGTATCGCATCTGAAATAATTACTGATATTATATTTGTTTGCTTTGATATAGGGCGTATATAAGTTATATTCAATCAGCACAAACAGTTGATAACTCTTTTGTAAGCAATGATTTTTTTCTTACGAAGGTTTCCTGTCCGCAGTCACATCGAAACAGCCCATACTGCATCCGGGTAAAAATAACTGCCCATCCCTAGTCTACACTAATAATGTAATAACGGGCTACTGGTCACTGTAATTTCCTATCACTTACCTCCCTGCTCGTCTTCCAAAATCATGACGCCTTATCTATTTCGATCTCATATTAACCTCAGCTTCGGAAATCCGATATGGGAAAGACGATTTTTTTGAGTGATTCGTTATGCGTATAAATCTGTCTGAAATAACGGACGTTTTAATAAACAAAAAAAAATATGCTCCTGCAAAATGTAGACTGCAGAACTCTCGTTTGCCAGCGTTGTAAAATAACATACGTCACGGACATCTGTGAAGACCGAACCATCGATCAACCCAAGAGCTGTTCCCGTTGTACAATAAACGTCAATGGTTGCTGGATTGGAGCTGGAAGAGCTTGTTCAAAAGCCAGTTACAGAGGCTAGCTTCGTGTCAGGGCGAGTGATGAGATTACATGCAATGACCGCCAATTAGCATAGCAGCAGACAAGTAATTATAAAGTCCACGTCACTTAAAATTTCGATTCATTTCTGCAAATGGCATACAACATAAAGCCGTCTGCTATCAAAACATTACACATGTGTTGCAAAAATAAAATAAGCCGACTAACTCTACTAGATGTAACCCAAAGATTCAACACCGTTAAAAAGCCGTCACTAATCTGTTCTTGAGCCAGTCAATCCAATCCACATTACCAAAAACACATTTTTATCAACATCCACGCTAATTTCTAATTTCGTTGTCGATTTTTCAAGTAATAGCTTTATGCGGGATTTCCTCTCAAAATTGCGTTATTTTCTTTCAAAGTCGGGTAACGTTCTCTTATTAATTACAAATAATGAAGGTTTTCAATAAGAGAAGTAGGTTGATGTAAAAATTCTTCTCGAAACGTGGGGTCTACGCACATTTTAAAACATCTTATTCATTTTATATATATTTCACTAAAATTAAATTCTCATAACAGCAACCCGGGAGTAGTATGAAATAACATAAAGGCGAACAACTGATCGGCAGTAAGAAAATTTTAACTCTCTTACCAAAACAATACCTCATTTAATTATATTTATGTACACCTTCACCAGTTCAGTGCGGTGTTGAGGTGTTACATTAGGCTTTTAAAGAACAGAAAAACTGTGTACAAATTAGAATTGATAGTTAGGCCTATAACTAACACAGATTTAAAACGCCATCCAACAACAATCATGTACCACAGTACAAAAATGAAATGAGAATCAGGTGCACGTCCAAGTAATACACTCCCAACCTCCCCTGCAACACTACAGCTCGACTTCCTGGCTGGATGCACTATTCTAATTACAGAAAAAAACAGTGACGATTATAATAATTAAAGTGCAGCTGCAGGTTTTGCATAATGCGTCTGATAGCGCACTTGGCTAATGCATGGAAAATTCCGCAGTCTCTTAATCAGTCCACTCGGTCGGTCACCTGACCTATAATATCACTACAAATGACCTTGAACCACTCAAAATACTTCACAATTCTAATCCTTGTTATTCATAATTATGCACTGATTTATTTCGAATACGATAACCCTCACTATCTCTCTGTGAAATAGTAGGGGACACATGTCTTGTGCACAGAAGACGTATTGAGTGGCGAAACACAACGTGCAGGGTATGACCCAGATGCTAATCCAAGTTCTCACTTCCTGAGTCTGAAATAGGTTTCCTCAAGGGTGCAGGGCCAACTGCAAATACAGTGAAATTATATTTTAATATTCATCTGAGAGTTGGGGCAGAAAACGTTTTACAACAGATATTATTTCCAAGTATACAGAAATTAGACATTACCGAAGTGTTTGTAATTGGTGACACATGCCATCAAAGACAATAACACTGGAACGCAAATATAACGACTCAGAAGCCAAAAATCTAACTTCAAAACATGATTAAAGAAGATATAAATCTTGCACGTAGCTTTAAACAGTAAATTGTACAGTACGACCGACATGACGAAATTAAAGAAACGCTGCTTTGTCCGTAGTACATACCAACAATCTGTGCGAATATCGCTCACTTGGCAGTCGATGTCATTAAATCCCATTAACTTTCACTGCTGTTTAACGACTGGATGCTGAGAAGAATGAGAGATCATATAAAAATATTAGGACTTGAGAGGGATGAAGATACAGGAGGCTCGTTAACATGTCACCGCCGGTGAATACAAATGCCACTACAGCCAGGAGTTTGATGGAGTGATCCATTTACTGAATTGAGTTTTTCAATTAAATCTCCAAGGCATAACTGTGCAGTGTGTTGAAGAGCAGTCTTAACACAAATGACATTATTTATGGAATGTTTGGATCCCATTTGCATTTCTTAGGCAACGTAATTTACTGTTCAGTAAAATATCTTACTAGTATTTTCGACTGAATGTTATACCGACCTCTATTCAAACCGACCATGTAAAAACAAAATCAGCGAAGCTCGAAAGTCACAACATGGACGTATTAACTCCATCTGCCGTGTCATGTAATTCATAAATATTGCCAGAACCCGCATTAAATACACAATATTGCTACACTTTTAATATGCAGACAGATGTTTCACAGAATCTTTAACACGCGTAAGCAAGTTTTTAATCAAATGCCAGCTTACCTTGTTATGTGCAACAGTGTACAGTTCAAACTCATAACGTCCAGTTAATCGTTCTAAGACGGAGTTGAAACAGAAACACAAACCGGGCGTTGAGAAGATGTGTCGACACTTTAACGAATAAAACACCTGCCACAAGTTCTGTGTCTACCTTCCTTGCTAGAACTTAACGGACTGCATCGCACAGGAAACACATTATGCATCTGTTTTTTTCAAAAACCGGAAATGCATGAAATGGAGCCAATATATCGAAATCGAAAGTGACGCAAGTGAAGTGTTATTTATTTTATTGAGCTATCAGGTAAGCATATTCATATGACTAGTGCAGTTTGACTGAAATTCATAATCTCTGGGTTCACGTTGTCCTACCTAACGTCAAATTAAATAAAACATTGGCTAGTGCCACATATACCATAAGACACCTATCACGATATTTTACACGAGAATTTAAAGGTAAAAGTAAAGTAGTGTTAAACCTTCCGTCATTATCTAATTCGTCAGTTTTTCAGACACTACAAAATATTCTTACATACATCCAACAAAATTGTAATACGATTGTTATATTGACTAAGGATAATGTATGTACCTGATATTTTTTTAACCAGTTTCATTTTAAATTTTCTGGTAATACACAGCAGTTTTTCAGCCAAATACAAAAAAACGAAAACCTTGTCAATGCATATTTGATTGTAGTATACTGATAAGAACGTTTGTAACTTACCGGGATATGTATTATGAACTGATTGCAATAATAAACCGCCGATAAAACTCAACAGCTCAAGTTCAACCACTGCAATGTTTGCAGTGATTCCATACACGGAATAGTAAATGAGTGTGTGCTCTCTGCTTAAATGAGTGTGTTCGATTGTCACCTCGTTATCTTTATCAAGCGTACCAAATCATTAACCACTCTCTACAAAAGAGAATTAATGCACATAGTGTGCTCACACTATACTAATATTTATAAGTAATTTGAAACGGGAACTCGCCCCATCGATTTAAACAACCCGCAAAAAATACCTTGTGAACGGTATGCAATTTGTACTTGCTTCACTTTCTTGCTGCTCTAAGAGTACTTACATTTAACAACTCATCATTTAAACAGCGCGCATTACACCAAAAATTACCCCAAAGATGACATAACTTATCACACAAGATGGCATTTAAAGGCAGACTTTGCCCAATAAATAAATAAAAAAAAGTCTTAAATGACAAAATCGATGTTCTTTTAACAAAGCAAATTTGGAACTTCGCTTATGCTAAGCCGTCAGAAAAAGCACTCTCTTATGGTAATTAAATTTTGAGCATTAATCATTCCAATATGGTCAATCCAAATCTAATTACGTACAATACGGGAGAGCTCAATTGAGAAGCTAATAGTCACTCAGCTAATAAACAAATTTCCTGTCTTGAATGGAAGCTGTAGATTCACTATTGTGTTTATAAAAGACCATGACTGCTCACCAACCTGAGCCAAATTAATCCAGTCTACACATTCTCACTCAATTTCTCCAAGAACAATTTTAATATTATCCTCCCAAGTATGCCATGGTATTCAAAATTCTTTCTTTCCTTCAGGTCTATAACCACACTGATTTTAATCAGCATAACACATTTAGGTTTTACTCATAAAACCACCAACATTTCATGTACAGAAAACCATTTTGCATGTCTGTGACTTGTAGTAATGTCAATTAAAAACTGCTTACATTTCCACAAGAACTCCACGAGATATTTTTCTAAATTACACACATCATTAATGCGGTATAAGCTTTTATTATTTCATAAATTTGTGGTACTAATTATGTTAAGTATTTTACTTACATAACCTAGAAGACAAAATTCCAAGTGTTACCAACCATCAACTGTCACCACTAGCAAGTGAAAGAACAGAGGAGAAAGTAGCACAGGAACAAAGGAAACAAGTAAACTGATAACTGAACATTCATTGTGGTCATATATGGTAAATAAAAGATCGGTGCAAATGAAAAGATGAATTATGTGGTGTTTAAATTCATTATATTGCAATAATAGCACTTCTAAAATCTGTATAACTCTGGGAAGGAGTTAAATGGGGAGGATGGATGTTGGGATAATGCCTTAAATTAGGCCATGACTGTTTCATTCTGTATCTTTTTCCACCATATTATAAAATAAAATATAGAATGGAGAAAAAAATCTGGCACAGCATAGAAAACAATATAATTTAAAATGATAAATGAACCTTTAATATGGTTATAAAAGGTCTAACTGTGAACAGAAAAGCACCATCATAATCCTTTAGAGTTTTGTTCATATTTTATATATAATAAAGCAGAGGGCATTACATTACATATTGTATAACTTTATATACTGCAAGGACATAATTAAAATACTTTGAAGACCTCTAAACCACCACTTGAATTTTACTGCCAAATGTGATTACAGCTATTCTTTTTTCTGTCTTTCAGATGATGACCTAGAGAAGCTTATTGAGGAAGTGGTAAAGGCCAGCAACAGAGGAGTCTCAGCTGCGAGGAATGTGTCTGGAGAACCAAACTGGAGCTTCGGGCAATCTCTCTTCTTCTCCAGCACTGTTGTCACAACTATAGGTAATAATTTGGTCCTACCCACAGCACTGATCCCAAAACATTTAGCTGGAAACCAGCTGATAATAGCAAAATATGTTTTCATTTAATTTCATTATTTGAATGACTTTTATACAGATTCTGAAAATATCAATTGTTTCATATAATATATACCAGAACTTATATTTAAATAATTTTCATATGTTTTCAGGTTATGGCCATGTGACACCACTATCAAAAGGAGGGAAGATCTTCTGCATCCTGTATGCAATGTTGGGAATTCCATTGACATTGGTACTGCTAACTGCACTAGTTGAAAGGCTCATGGTCCCCACAACAATGCTGCTACAGTGTCTCAACTCTCGCCTTGGCCACCTGTACCAACCATTCAACATCCGCCTGCTACACCTGTTTCTTGTGGGGTCTCTGTTAGTGTGCCTCTTCTTTTTGACACCAGCAGCCTTTTTTGCAACTCTCGAACCAGAATGGGATTTCCTTGACTCGCTGTACTACTGTTTCATCTCACTTACAACTATTGGCCTGGGAGACTACATTCCTGGTGACTCTCCAAATCAGCCCTACCGACCAATCTACAAAGTTGCCACCACTGGTTAGTATGATGACAGCATAATCATCAAAATGTAGATGTATAAGACCTTAATCATCTGAACCAGATGTTTGTAATATGACCTTATTGCAGTTTGGTCAAAGTTTTCTTCTTCTTCTGTAATGCAGTCTACTACAACACAACTCTTCTTTCAATATCAGCTAAGATAACTTTATAGCAGTCATTGAAACACACTTTTGTTTACAAACATTTCAACATTTTGCATGCAGTCATAAAATATATTGTGTTTCATCATCAATAATGCATTAAAAGTAAAAACGTCCCTGCTTTTTATTAGAAATTATCTGTTTAGTTAAGGAGGCCAAGGCTTGATTTTGGGTTGTCATGCCACAGAAGAAGGAGAAAAAGAAGATCTGTTTAGTTAAACATGTTGCTTAAATGTTCACTGCCCAGGATTCATTTATATACGTTAGTTGTTGGTAAAATCTGTGCACTATTGATGGATGTGTTGACAGTCAAAGAATTATTAATTTGTGGTTGATTACGTATATGGTGAAGACATGTGAAGTGTCAAAATGTAGAAACAAACATGTTTAAATTTCAGGGTGGGTAACATGTTCAGTTACTAAATTTAAAGCAAGTAGTATACATAGTTATCACTACCCTGCAAAGGGTTAAAGAACAGATTTTATAAAAGTTTCCAATTTGACCGCACATTTTACTTGTCTTTTCATTGCAGGATACCTGTTGGTTGGCCTGACCTTCATGATGCTCACCCTAACTGTTTTCTATGATATTCCTCAACTCAACTTTGGGTTATTCTTCTTGATGCGTTCAGATGAGACAACAGGAGATCCAGAGAAAGTTCGACTGCAGACTCCTGGTGCTGTAGGGCCTAAATATACTCAACAGCTGGATGATGGTGGTGTTGGACGAAGGGCAGTAGTAAGAGTCAAGTCACGGCGAGATGATTCACCAAGTCCAGAGGATACTACCCCTGTCCATGCTAGACCATAAAGCCCTCCCCATCATCACCTTGTATTGTTCATCAATCACCCTGATATGTGCAGATAAACTAGAAGTATTAAGAACTCTCACCCCACATAATGTGTCACTTCCTCCCAAGCAACTCCCTTTCATTCATAAGTTTTAAATCTCCTGATGGCCTATTTAAATGCCATCATCTCAATATGTCTAGTCCATTTTCATCCTAAATTAGCATTAACTGTTCATGTAAATTGTCAATGATGGAAAAAAGAACATCCAGTTTATAGAATTATACAGTCTATATCAGAAATGTAGATTCCCAGTAAATAGATAGTTACTGCCACGTGCCTCCTACATGTTAAATCCATTCACTCTTAGGACTAATACACCAAATGACCACTATTTTCTCTAGCTGTTATTAATGTTGATTACAACCCATTCTACATTTTACTCTCCATGTGTTTGTTTCATTTATATGTCACTGTTCATTTTCATCCTACTGTATGTATTCATACATTTATAGCCATCTCCTTGCCATAATTTTCATGCACATTTTTATGTTTTAAACTATTATAAAACTTTATATAAGACTCATACCCGTTAAAACTAGACCATTCATTCAGTAATATAAATTATATTTCTAACTTATAAAATATCTGAGAGGGAATGCTACAAATGTTTTTTCATAACACTTCCCACACCCAGCAGCCAAACTTGACTTGCTCAATGAACATGAAGTGGAGCACAACGAAGCTAAACATGACGCTGCAAATGCTTTTGTCTTCTGGGCATGCTCTACCCTTTGCTGAACTAGGAGTAACTGTTTTACACCTGCCATATCTGTGTCATCAGTACTTCAAGAAGCAGTGTTCATCTACAGGTATGATGATGTAAGTAAGAACCATACTGCTTTATGGTAAACAAATGTCCATTACAGCAAACCCTTGTCCAGTGGGGCTTTGATTAAATCCTGAGAAATTTTAGAAATAGTCACTTTTGCCGAACATTTAAAATTCTGATCACACAATAACTAGTAGCCCACAACAGAAACTGAATTTTTGTGCAAGTCAGTACAGGCTGAAGGTGAAACCAAACACAATTTTTGAATCTTGCCTTTGCACGATTGCCCAGAATTCGTCAGACCACCTTCACCATTATTCACGATGTCATTGTTATTTTTTCCCATTTTTAAATATCACTATGTAAATACGTTTTAATAAGTATCAAATAATAATATGAGTGTGAAAAACATTGTATTCAGATGTTCAATAACTAACATGTTAAACAGTTTCACATTTATACATCTTGTTTTACAGATGATGTCATTTAAGATTTGCCATTGCCTGACATCAGCTATCAATGAAAATCACGCAACAGTTGCTATGCTGATTCACCAGGCTCTGATGAAAGAATGGCATGGATCTGGACAAGGTGAAACAGTGAAGGAAGATTTTAAAATTTTTGTAATGACAATCACAAATCAAGTAGTGACCAGAGCTGTGAAACTATGGAATTTTGCTGATGACACCAAAATAGATTACATACATTAAGGAAATATATTTTGAAGATTTTCAATACATTTTCCTTCTGAAAATATATTTTATGCCCATAAATATTTTATTGTAAATGGCTGTTAAATGTAACAACAGTGTTAGTACACTGACTTTCCAGTATCACTGAAAGTATCATGAAAATGTTTTAAAAGTTGATGTCACCATATACATGTACATATTTATAGATGAATATTTCTCTTCTGTAAGCACAAATACTTAAGATTACATGGTATGACACCCCCTCCCTCCAAATAGATAAGGTGTAATAAGATTTCTAAAACATGTACAATTCAGTCAGACATGCACAAATTTGTAAGAAAGAGAACTTGTAGCAGTTTCATCAAGTTGATTGTACTGCTTGAGTGTAACCAACTTATGACTTTATATACAATATGCTACATTGAGTAATAATATAAAAAATTAGTGTCTTATATCAGATTATTTCATTCAGTCTATAGATTTATACAAAATTAATTAACAAGGGGAAGAAGGTGTTTATTATGTAAGAAAGATCAGAATAATTTTATATTTTTGCCACAAAAGTCATACTGGTAGCATTTGATGCTATACAGTGTCAGCTACTAACAGAATTGTTAAATAAACCATAATTAAATAAATATAATCCATGTTTTAACAGCATTAGATGGAAGTAGCAGTCAACTAAATTTATCTGTGAGGAAAGCGTCTGTAACAACTGGATATGAGGCCAAGTGTACTATAATGTTATTCTGTATATGGTGGTGAAAAGACAAATCTCCAGTGCCCCTGTACCCAGCCATCCAGTCTGCAATCACTTACATCAAACAGCTGTACCACAATCAAAACTGTTCCCTCTATAAATTTTACAAATACTGTCTGGAACATGTTTTTGGCAAGTGAATAATCAAAAAGATATTTTCAATGGGTTAATTATGTACCCCATACTGGCAAGTATGGTTTAATTTCAAGTTTGGACAGGATATTAGTAAAAATTTCCAAACTAAATTGCTAATCATGTGTATTCACTTAAAATCAAGCCAAATTATTAGAAATACACTCTGCATAACTATAAAGTTCATATTAACAGCTGCTTTGTTCTAAAAGTTAAAAGATATGCTGTGCTGTCTTTGTACATGTATTTAGCAAAGTGCTCGACCAGTATCATGTATATCCTCTGCAAATACAGTATACTCTATATGAAGAATTACTGATCTCTCTAGATTGAACACCATTGATCTTCAAATCCTTATGCAATGTTTATACCAAGCATCTGTCAAAATGTCAGCTTGTACCTACAAGTAGTAGTCTTCATATATATAAATAAACATTACACCATCTGTCTGATAAGTGTTTCGTCAAACTTTTCACATCCTTACAACCTATTCACAAATCTGTCACCATACTATAATAAATGGTGTTAGAGTTGCTCCCACTTCAGAAGTTCATGAGGTCACCACATTAGCATTATTGATGGTGATTAATTAAAAAAGTCCTGTGTTATGACTAACAGTAACAACATGACATGTTTCACGAAAACTGGCCAATTGGGCAAAATATTTTGTGGTAGACAGCCATACATCTGTATGATAGATAACACAAGCATAATTTTCCTGAACAACTTTCACATAAGCAAACGAAGTTGTCTGATGAGAAAGGTTTTACTAGACATGTAATAATTTGATATGGCTGATGTTTAAAGCCTTGTGCAATCTCTAAATGTGTTCGAGATTATTTATGAAATAACAATTGTGATCACTCCCTAATTAGTAGATTCAAGTACTAATCCGTCAAAGATAGGCAAATGAGATAAATATATTTTGAAGCTAGAAACAACCATAGCATTGAAATAAATCAACTTTATATGTCATAAAATATGCATATACAATCAAGCTGATGACCTAGTATGCTTGATATCAACTATGTAAGAAAATTCTACATACAATTTATTAGATATGGGCAGTTTTAAACAAAAAGTGTAATTTAACATGACAAGCTTTCCTTCTGAATACACCACATTACCTGTAGGATGTGGTTATGTGAACAGGAGCTGACATGGGAAGCTGTCCCTTACTATCATCCTCACCTCTTCTATGCTACAGCTTACAGATAAAAGTGGTCAATTATGAATCAACAATCTCATTGTTGACCAACATGTCTGGTAATTGCTGCCTCTTAAATGTAACCACAGGGACAAATGGAGTGCAAAGTTATAATGTATGTTGTATTACAGTGTTTTGCAGATATGTGCCCATTCTGAAGCAACCGAGAGAAAGTATCAGAGAAAGTGAATAATTTCTAGGGTCCAGGAGAAAGGTCTCAGTTAAGTTGTTCATTGCATTGCTAAGGGAAGATTAATAAATTTTTGTATAATTATTTACTATGAAAACAAGATCGAGATCAATTTATATAGCATAAATAAAGTCGTGGAAATGATTTAGATTGCTTTGTATCGTGTATGTCATATAAATTATAACTTTTGTTCTCGGACATCGCCCATCAAGTCTTTGAATGTCCCCTTTAAATACTTTTACTTCAAACTCCAAATGACGTGGTGTTAGTTGAGACGTGATGTTTTCTTGCGGGCGAGAAAGTAGATTATATTAATTTTTGTATATAATTAATCATTTAATATTTTTCTGCGTTGTAATGACGAAGACGTATGAGAACAACGATTCTTATGGAACTTTGTTTACTTCCCTGTTTTATATATATTTAATGTTCGGTTTATTTATGCAGAGTAAGAAACAAGACATACAGTTTTACAAAACCACGTAAAGCTTAATTAATATTTTACTTAGTTCGTCTTAACTAACTAACTAGATGGCTTACCGAACCCGAAGGTTCATCACCGAATTAACCAAAGCCCTCCATCGGACCCTGTCCTGGGCCAACAAAGTCCAGTTTCCTTCAACTCCTATCTCGGATAGATCCCGCCTGAGATTATCCTCCCATCTTCGTCTAGGTCTCCCCAGCGGTCTCTTCCCTTCAGGTTTCCCAACCAGTACCCGGTGCATACCTCTTGTCCCATCCATGCGCGCTACATGTCCCGCCCATCTCACTCTTCTTGACTTAATCACCCTCACAATACTGGGGGCGCAGTACAGATTTTTAAGCTCGTCATTGTGCAGTTTTCTCCACGCCCCATCGTCTTCCCTCTTAGGCCCAAATATCCTCCTCAACACCCGATTCTCAAACACCTGCAATCTGTGTTCCTCCCTCTGAGTGAGAGACCATGTTTCGCACCCATACAAAACAACGGGCAAGATTATTGTTTTGTATACTTTAATTTTCAAGTTCTTAGAAATCAGACGGGAAGACAAAATATTTTGGACTGAGAAGTAGCATGTGCCATGCCATACAAAGAAGTATTCAAGGGGTAAACTGAGAAGAAAGTAGGCAGGAATTTTATTGACAATAACAGCATCCATGGACTATCTGATGTTCTACGAATGCAATCATCCGGTAAGTAGTCTCGCCTTTTCCTTTTATGTAAATAAGTAATCCGTCACAACTACAGAAACATCTACACAATGATTTAAAATACATGAAAATAAAACAAAAACCATACATAACGTGCAACATACCAAAAAGTACCACGAAACATACAACAACCACCGCAAACAGTCATCTATACCAACCGATCTCTAGGTTAACTCAAGTTTCTTAATCTGTGATATAGAAAGATTAACAGAATAACTTTCTATATTTGCGCCATCTATTGTATGCAGAAATTAACAATTCATAAATGTAAACAAAGTAGAACAAAACTTCTCGGAGTACAACATTTCTTGCTGTTCAGGTTGTCAACTTGTCCCGCTGCGTTTGTGAAATGTTTGAAATGCTTGTATTTAGAGGTTAAGTGGTAATAGTAAAACAATTCCTGGATTATATTGAAGCCGGTTTTATTATAATGAAGATTGTTGGAAATATTGAAATATGCAACCGTTTGCTTCCGTCCCTAAACATATCAGGGAAAGGACGTAAACAGTGGTCTTCCCTAGCTATAGGAAAGCATCCAGGACCAGAGGCAGAACTGTTTATATTACACCAATCAGCTCAAAATAAATTGGGGACGAAATACAAGGTAATAATTATAGGTTTAAAGAGAAAAGAGTTAATTTAAAATAAATCACTTCACTACCTTACACTCCAGTGCATATAATTAATTTGTTTCTTTTTATATGTAGGTGAAGAAAAACATTGAACAAGTATTTACTCGTTTTGTAAACGAAGGAAAGGCAACCATCAGATTCAAGCAACCACCTCATGACGTCTGTATTATATGTGACTCCTTACAACTGAAACTATTTTTGAAAACATTGAAACTTGGTTTGGGAGAGAAAGTGCCTCCAAGATCATTAATGCTATCCAATATTACTACTACATCCAAGGTACCACCTATCCCAAAAACAAACCTTGTCATATTATCCAAAGCAGCGTACCCTACATTGGAGGGTTTTCCTAGAACTTTGCAGGTTTTGAAGGTAAGTTATATTGTTTAATAAATAATATAATCACATGAAATATTAAATTAATCCTTTTGTTTCAATTTAAATGGCACCCTCCATGGCATGGTATCCTACTTGAGTGACTATAAAACTGCTTGATAGAAGTAATACAGTCAGAGTTGTCAGGAAGCTTGAGTTATTTGTGCTTGCAAACATTCTTGTGGCTAAATGTTCAAAATAGAGTGAGCCACCAAGGTACTGCTGGCAAAGTTTCACATATTTTCATTACTGGCTTTTGACTGAGGTAGTTTTTTGTTCCTGTTCCTTTATCTCTGGGGGTAAGAGCCCCTTATACTCACTGAATAGGAGGCTGCTTGAGCGCCAGAAGCATTCTAGATACAATGAAGACATCCCCGAGAGGAACTGAATCCTGTCCATAGCCATACACTTTATTCACTGAGGTATCATGGGAAAATTTATGAAACAGTATGCTACTTCTTTGCCTTCCTACACTCCCTTATGCTTGTGTTGAAACTACATGTACCCCACTGGTCTTCCCATACCCAAGCACTAAGCTTCCATTTGCACTTGAACATGCATGATTACCTGCATGCTGATATCTCATTCAAAAGGTAATGTCAGAAAATCACATTCAACTACCAATGCAACAACTTTAGAAAGAAATTTACAAAATAATAGTGAAAGCAAAAGTGTATTCAACTACCCACTATTAAAGGTTAGAGATTTCCAGAAGAACCAGTATATTTTATGAAACTGGTTAATTTATTTGTACATTATTCCCATGTATGTTCACTCGGTACTCTCATATACCCAAAACTATATCATTAGGATGTCTTACTAAGAGTCAAATTGGATTTCACCATTCCTCATCCTCTGACAAATGCTGTAGTCCTTTTTGTCTGTATGTACATGACACTTCCATTGAAACCCATGATTTGTCAGAATCATCATGATGTATTTTTCATAAATTAGGGATGCATACCTTATATCATACATAGTTCTTGAAGGTAGTGAACTGTGTAATCATTAATCTTATTTTCTTTTCAAGTTGTCACTAATGCAAAAATCTGAAAAATGAAGGTGCATTATATCAGTGACTGGGTAGGGAAGATGTATGACATAATGATTTGAGTATGAGGGATTCCATTTATGAGGTATCACAATGGAAAATGACAAATCTTGATGCTCTACATGATTTTCATTTTTGAAAATTTGAAATTTCTGTTTTAGATAAACCATGCAATGCAGAAAAGGTTTGATAACAACATTCTGCGCTTGCAGAACCTTAAATTGCTAGACCTCAGTCACAATGATCTGACATGTTTGCCAGAGGAGCTAGGAATGCTTCCTTCTCTGGAATGTTTGTACCTTTCTCACAATAAGTTTGGTGAAACTCCAGCTCAGGATTCAAGATGGAATTGGATCAGTGGCTTCAGACTGGCTAAATCATTGCAGGTGTTGGATCTCAGTCACAATGAGGTATATCTTGGAATTGTCTGGTTGCATTTATTCTTTGCCCACTGTTGTGTTATTTTGCTCCTGAACTTATAAAATAAACCAGTAAATAAAACATTTTTTATTTTAATTTAGTTACGTCTGCTACCAAAACAAATCTCCAAGCTGAAAAAACTCAGCATTCTGAAAATTGAGAGAAATCAACTAAGCCAGCTACCTCCGGGTTTAGGCAATCTTATAAATCTCAGGTAAGTATAACATACCATTGGCAGGATCTTGTAAATGTGGCAATGAACAGTAAGGTCCCATGAAAGGTGGGAAATTTCTTGACCGGATAGTGATTGCTAGTTTCTCAAGAAGGGAGTCAGTGAAGTAAAACACTTATGTTGTTGTAATATGATCAGCTAAGCAAGTATTAATGCTACAGAGATTAACATTTTATTTGGATTAATTTCCCTGTCTGGAGAAATCAAAGTTCTTTTCTTTTTTAATTTACTTGCCCTTTATTGCTCTTTGCATTTACCTTTGATTCTTAAAAAAAAAATTGTATTTACAGAATAATGTAAATGAATATAGTAGAAGGGGCCAGGTCACAGAACTTTGCCAAACCAAGCAGGACAAATCATACAGAGTTCTACATTAATACACAGGTCTTTGGTGGCTGGATACAACAGACTGCACTTCTTGCCTGGCAGCATAAAGAGGTTGCACTTGGATTCCTTGGATTTAGCTCCTAATTCATTTGAATCTTTAAATATGAGAAATGCAAATAATCTGGGAGTTCTTAGTCTTCTGGAGTGTGCTGCAAGAAAAGTTATCGAATGCAGGTCAGTATTAATAACCCCCAGCATGTGGCACGGTGCTTTTTAGGATTCCTAAGTATTAGATCATGCAGTTTTTTAATACCACTTGCATATGATGTCAAGACAATTATTGGGCTCACACAAACACAATGTGAAGCCTGCATAAAGTACATGCATGGAACTATGTAAATCTGTAAGTTTAGGTGTAATGCGACTTTTCACCCATCCTATAGTTGGTAAGCTATATTTATATATACCTCTGGAAATGATTCTAATGATTTTGGTTTTTATATGTTTCAGGTTATTCTACTCCCCAGAAATCATTCCAAGAAGTCTAGTATTCTATCTAGATAATGCTCATTACTGTGTTTGTGGATCTGCTTGTTTTGAGGTGTTCTTGAGAAAACATGTTCCTCTCCAATTAAACCACATAGCCAATACTGTAATCTTGTCTCACAATGCTGACACCATTGTGCCAACTGACACATTTTTCTGTTCCCATAAATGTGTTAATATGTGATGGAAGTTGACCAGCACTGAAATAATGTACTTTAAAACCCCACTTTTGTGTAAGAACTTGGCAAAACACATTGCCCAATAAATCAGTATTTTATATGGAAGTGATTTTAGTGAACAAATATATGTATTGTGGTTGGACATTATGCTTAGAGGGCATATATGTTATTACTGTACAAAGTTCAATGTTTGTTGACTTGCCTTCTAAGCAAAATAAAGTATTTTTGTGCATAATATTGATTCTTTAAATGCTCAGATATTTCAAAATCACTACCAGTTTTTGCCAGACATTTCAGGATGATCCAAATATATTTTACCTTCTTAAGCTGGTATCATCAGACCCATTCTAGAGCATGGATGTTTCACCATGGTCCCACTGAACTGGTGCCCCATATACAACTGAAGGATGCCAAGAATTGGACATCCTTGAGAAATTCAGGAAAACTGACAGAGAAAAATACATATTACTGAACAAAGAAACATAGTGTAAGTCCCAGCTGTGGCAGTGTCTATCCTGAGGGTTTTTGTATTTTTTTTCCTGTCTTACCAGATAATGGCAATGAAATAGATTGTGATGATGTTAGTTCAAGTATGAAGTGTGAGTTTTCCCATATTTCACATGGTGAAACTGAATGTAACAGCCAAGCTGTTAGCACTGCTGGCTTGTATCTGGGTGGTCCTGGGTCAGTGTCTTGGCTTGGAGACAGGCTATCATGACTGAGATGTTTGTGGTTTTTCTCAATTCCTCCAGACAGATGTTGGGAAAGTACCACTTTGCCAAACCAAGCAGGACAAATCATACAGAGTTCTACATTAATACACAGGTCTTTGGTGGCTGGATACAACAGACTGCACTTCTTGCCTGGCAGCATAAAGAGGTTGCACTTGGATTCCTTGGATTTAGCTCCTAATTCATTTGAATCTTTAAATATGAGAAATGCAAATAATCTGGGAGTTCTTAGTCTTCTGGAGTGTGCTGCAAGAAAAGTTATCGAATGCAGGTCAGTATTAATAACCCCCAGCATGTGGCACGGTGCTTTTTAGGATTCCTAAGTATTAGATCATGCAGTTTTTTAATACCACTTGCATATGATGTCAAGACAATTATTGGGCTCACACAAACACAATGTGAAGCCTGCATAAAGTACATGCATGGAACTATGTAAATCTGTAAGTTTAGGTGTAATGCGACTTTTCACCCATCCTATAGTTGGTAAGCTATATTTATATATACCTCTGGAAATGATTCTAATGATTTTGGTTTTTATATGTTTCAGGTTATTCTACTCCCCAGAAATCATTCCAAGAAGTCTAGTATTCTATCTAGATAATGCTCATTACTGTGTTTGTGGATCTGCTTGTTTTGAGGTGTTCTTGAGAAAACATGTTCCTCTCCAATTAAACCACATAGCCAATACTGTAATCTTGTCTCACAATGCTGACACCATTGTGCCAACTGACACATTTTTCTGTTCCCATAAATGTGTTAATATGTGATGGAAGTTGACCAGCACTGAAATAATGTACTTTAAAACCCCACTTTTGTGTAAGAACTTGGCAAAACACATTGCCCAATAAATCAGTATTTTATATGGAAGTGATTTTAGTGAACAAATATATGTATTGTGGTTGGACATTATGCTTAGAGGGCATATATGTTATTACTGTACAAAGTTCAATGTTTGTTGACTTGCCTTCTAAGCAAAATAAAGTATTTTTGTGCATAATATTGATTCTTTAAATGCTCAGATATTTCAAAATCACTACCAGTTTTTGCCAGACATTTCAGGATGATCCAAATATATTTTACCTTCTTAAGCTGGTATCATCAGACCCATTCTAGAGCATGGATGTTTCACCATGGTCCCACTGAACTGGTGCCCCATATACAACTGAAGGATGCCAAGAATTGGACATCCTTGAGAAATTCAGGAAAACTGACAGAGAAAAATACATATTACTGAACAAAGAAACATAGTGTAAGTCCCAGCTGTGGCAGTGTCTATCCTGAGGGTTTTTGTATTTTTTTTCCTGTCTTACCAGATAATGGCAATGAAATAGATTGTGATGATGTTAGTTCAAGTATGAAGTGTGAGTTTTCCCATATTTCACATGGTGAAACTGAATGTAACAGCCAAGCTGTTAGCACTGCTGGCTTGTATCTGGGTGGTCCTGGGTCAGTGTCTTGGCTTGGAGACAGGCTATCATGACTGAGATGTTTGTGGTTTTTCTCAATTCCTCCAGACAGATGTTGGGAAAGTACCATGACTGTTTCCTTCCATATCCTTTCCAGTTCATTAATCATCCTATAATTTCTTGCTATATAATCTCCCCTACTGACAATATCATTAAATAAACCACAAATAAATATATTCACATGGTAAAGTTTCAACATAGATAATAATTCTACCTGTTTTGTATGGGTGTAAAAGTTGTCCATGATGCTTAAGAACCACACCATACATATATATATGAAGATATTTATACCTGAGAGGGAGTAATATGAGGATGGAGAAAACTGCATAATTTGGACAGGATTCACCTGGTTCATAAGTGACCACTGGCAGGCTCTTGTGAATGTGGTAATGAACCACCAGGTTCCATAAAAGGTGGGCAATTTTACTTAATTTTTTATTATTATTTTTTTCACATATCAAAGATCATGTCTGCTATGTACCTAAGCCACAGTTCTGTTCAACTGTTTAATGATAACTGTTTTCTTATGTTTATTTCCCAGTATTTCAGGTAAAGTACCAAAGTATCCAAATCTAGGTTTCCAATCTATGAGTAATGTTCTTCCGGTATTTAATCAGACATGTCGAATCCTGGCAAACACACTGGAATTATCACATTACGAATATATTTAATTACTTATTAATTTTGGTTGTACTACTTTCAGTTGCAAATATATACCATGACAACTACACATTACCCATGTACCATCTCATATTTCCAGCTGTCATAATGTTGCATTATAAATTATAACCTACTTTATTAAAAGCAATACTAGTATGGTATATAAATGTAAAAAGAGAAAAAATAGAATAGGCACTTACAAGAGAAAGGGCCAATGCCAACACATGTAAACAATAACTTTTGTTAAGACAGAGCAAATGTAGTAAATAATTAATGTAATAACCGTAAGCTTAATTTTCATTGACCTTCTACATACTAGTCATGTCACACTCCTTCCTTTGAAACAAGGGTAGTGACATAAGTATTTTGCTATTGTTTCTAGCCTCTGGGTTTACACTGTTGAGGAATTATTCCTCTTTGTATATTCTAGCCTAAAAAGTGGGTGTTCATGTTTTGTATCAAGTCAGAGGGCCATTACTCAGGTTAAGAGCTCTATTCTACCTTGGCTCTTTACACGTCTTTCCCAATATCATTAATTAAAAAAAATCAAGAATTCTTTGTAACATTTATTGAATTATGGAAAGGGGGAAGGAAGAAAAACATATATGTTTACAGATCTTGTAATTAATATAACTTTCACAGGGTTGCTAAAATCTAGGAGCAGAATTTCATTACTGTTCTTGGCTGTATTTACAGTAGTGCTATTTGCAACCATTCATATTCTTGCCACTTTTGTTCGTTAATCTCCAAGATTTTTTGCAAACCTGATGTGCAAAATATTTTACATTAGAGATGCCAATGACCCTCCAGTTTCCATTAAAAATATCTTTGTATTACAATTAATGTTACATATTTGGGAATTTTAACTCAATAACTTAGAAGAATTAACATGGTTGAAGGGTACTGACAGATTGTTTCTTCCAATTTTTATTTACTAGCACTCTACAAAGGATATGGGATGACTGTGGGTGAGATATTTAAATGCATTTTTTTACATACAACAGTGAAAACTTTGTGCTAAGGTTCGTTTTAGAAGAACCTGCTTCATTTACTCATAAGACAGAACACAAAATTTGAAACAGGGGGTAAAACTACTACTTCAGAGGTTGGCATCTCTGATGCCCAGAGTACTTATATTGGGAAAGGTATGACATGTCAGGGGTGGAAAAATATTCAGACATTTTTGAATAGCAATTTTTTTCTTCCCCCCTTACTGAACTAGTTTCTCTGGCCGCCTGTGCCAGATAGTAGAACACATGCTGACAATTATGAACATGACTTTAAATTAAGAAGGAAGAGCACTAATTTCAACTCCAGAGTGACTGTTGGTCCAACCAGCAAGTATTGCGGTTGCTGTGTGTACAGCTGACTGCAGCCAAAATGCACAAAAAACTTACAACTAGTATACCACACAATTATTTTTTGGCATGTGACTGGTCCTTGCACTTTATATCTTTCAATTTATTGTAATTTTAAATGCTTTTGTTCTGAACAGTAGTTTAACAAAATTACTATATTATGTGAACTGAGGCACACTAACTCAGAAGACTATGCATTTAGATTACAATGCAACTGTTGTTCTTTCAAACTTGTTAATTAATTTCTAAGGCCAGCTACCAACTGATCAAATCTTTTGGCATGCCAGAATTTTTCCACCCGTGATACACCATGAGCTAGAAGTAATCTGCATTCTGTGAAATGTTAAATAGAAAAATAAATACACCATGGTCCTTTGAAACATGAGATCCAAGATTTTATGTGTAGTTAACTGGAATCTCATCTTGCACAGGGCCTTGTATACTTTTCTAATGTGGTTTATTTAAGAAACATGGCACATTCTACAATGTCTGTGTAAATTCAGATCTACCTAGGATACAATCTAAAAGGTGTAAAGAATGAGGGAGCTGTACTCAACAAGTACCTGTCAAGTGTGCTAGTTGCTTAGTTTGACTGTTGTGGAGCACAGCCTGCATTTCACAATGCAGTCTGATAAACTAAGACCTCGTGAAATGTGCTAGTTTCAAATGCACAGCAATAACGTTTTCTAAAATGTACTTTCTTAAACATCTCTTTCTTCATAAGATTGCAATAAAATATATCAATTCCCAAATGTACATATGAAAAATGAACTGTAGACTAAAAATCTCTTAAATGCCATCTCCATGGTTTTTATTCCCACAGATCTCCCAGTCATCCAGCTAGTTTCTTAAATTAATATAAAAGAATAACTTCATTATGCATTGTGTACTATTCACAAAAACAGAAAATAAATTGTGATCTACAAGGTCTGCAAACTTGACAATACTCTCTGTTTACAGTAATATGCATCAATTTCCATATTTCAATTAAACTAATCTCACCCACCAATCTCTTGTCAAAAAGTGAAAGAAAGATGGATACAAAGCTAGCTAGTGAAGAGTAATTGATAAGATATGGGAGCTATGCAATAAAACCAAACAGATTACTCCTAAAACACACTTCCAAGTAAAATGCAATCATGGTGTCAATTTGTGTCATTTAAATATAAGAATACAATTTGCAACGAAAAGAAGTTATATTATTGTATCAATACTCCCGCTGAACCTATCAAAAATGTTAGATACTACCATTATTTGTAAGGTTGATCCATTTCACACATCAACACCACAAACATATGTAATTGTGTGGTAAGGACAACTCTGTAATGTACGGTACTATTCGAACATCATATGATAAAATACATCCACTGTAAACATTGTCAGCTCTGCCAGCCACAGCAGAGGACCAAGGACATCAATAATTACTGTGTGTATCTTAAAACTTTGCATACCGTGTAGTGTATTAGAATATAAAATAAGTAAACAAACAACTATTATCACTATAAAAAGACATTATTGCCATAAGCGTTTCAACCTCAAGAGGACATCATCAGTGGCATCTGGGAAATTAATTAATTTAATCAAAAGGTTTAAATTGGATTTAGAAATAAATAAGATGTTTCACAAAGTTTATTTCAAACGATACTGCACTAAATGCTGTTATTCACAGAGTATAACTATGCACTTAGCTATTGAACTGATGGTTTAGTAGCCGTAGATGGTCTGCGGCGAGCTGTGGTTGCGTTGTGAACTCCACCCACGATTCTGGAGTTCACAGGTACGGACAACGCAACCACAGCTCGCCGCAGACCATCTACGGCTACTAAACCATCAGTTCAATAGCTAAGTGCATAGTTATACTCTGTGAATAACAGCATCTAGTGCAGTATCGTTTGAAATAACCTTTCTGAAACACCTTATTTATTTCTAAATCCAATTTAAACCTGTTGATTAAATGAATTAATTTCTCAGATGCCACTGATGATGACCTCTTGAGGTTGAAACGCGTATGGTAAGTGTCTTTTTACAGAGTTAATAGTTGTTTGTTTACTTATTTTATACTGTGTGTATGTATGAAATTCTACAGGGGGGATAAATTTTCTGTTAGTGGCATAATCAAAGGACTGCTCAGATGTTTCTTTCCAAAATATTTTACCTACTATGGTACTCAGATTTTCACTAAGTAACTTTTTTGTCCAAACGATCCACAATACAACATTCGTTAGCCATCAGTAACGGGTTCAGCACATATTTTGAATAAAAAAGGGCGTGCTTAAAGTTCTCCAGGTTCCATCATACACTTTTTTCTTTTCTAGTGTAGTATAAAATTCCTGCTTGTTGGTGTAGCAAACAGGTACAAACGGTAGCAGACAAAAAACTGTTCCCTTTGCAATGTGAAGGCAGAGAAGATATGCTGCTTCCTGCCACATTGACACCTCTGCGAAAACAGAACTGTTCATTTAATTGTTTCCACACTTGCATGCCTTGTCAATTTAGGCTTTCTTTCCTGGTTTCTTCCTCCCCTTTGTGGAGATAGCTCCTCTACGTTTACGTTCCTTGGTCCTCGTCACAGGTGAGCTCTTCGGCTTTGAAGTCAGTTTTACACCTGCACAAAAGAAAGATCATACTAACATAAAACTAAATTACTAAAAACTTTTTAAGATACATGATGTCACAATAAGGCATGATTAGTATACTGATGCATTCTTTAATGATTAAATCAGGGCTGTATTCAAGCCAGGCAGTGTCCTGGTGCTTTTATGTAGTGCTGGAGTGCAGATCTGGCATTTATTTTAAAGACAAGGAAGTCAAATATATGACACAGCCTTAGGGCATTAGTGGTTGAGAGTCCTCACTTAAAATATACTGTAGAGAGTATGCCCCTCCAGAAACTTGTAATTATGTAATACAGAAGTCAGTGAGTACATCAAACTGTTTACACTCTAGTACTAAAATTCTCTTTCACCAAATACACTTAAATTCTAAAGACTGTGAAAGCAGTAAACAATAACAAAGATTGAAATGTGCTTACTTCTTGTCCTTGTAGACCTTGTGGGAATACTGCTTTCCACTACAGGTTCATGTTTCTTTGTGGGCTTAGTAACAACTTTAGGTTTTTTCTCTGGGGCTTTGGCTGCAGACTGTCTCATGAGAGCATGTTTTGCCACAGTTTGTTTCATAGCAGCATTCTTGACAGCTACTGCAGAAGCAGGAGCAACAGAAGCTGTTGTTTCACTTCTCCTCTTTGCTGATAGCCCTCGCTCACGTCCCCGTTCAGAGGCACGTTCTGCCCTCTTCTCAGTTGGTTTTTCTTTCATCTTTACTTTCTCTTTCACAGAAACCTTAGGTTTCTTCACTTTTTTGTTCTGTTTTGGTTTCATCTCTTTAACTTCCTCTTCTGACTCATCACCAGTCAAGCCCTCATAGCCATCCTCTGCACCTGATGTATTTTCTTTTCCCTGCATTTTTGCAGTTCGCTTCAAACTTTTTCTCACCTTCAACTGAGACTCGTCACGGAAGAGGGACAGGTCCACTAAAAGACATTAAAGATAATATAAACCACAAAAAAAGTTGACAGTGGAACCACGGTTCCGGAGAATCCGACGTAAATATGCCTCTGTAATGTAATGAAATGTAATAATTCTTATATAAGATACATACTTCTAATATTCTAAAACGTTTTTAACAGCACAAAAGTATCTAGTCTACGACACACTTCTTCTACAAGCGATTCACAGCTCAGCTCTTTCCGCAATAACGAAAGCGGATTTTTGACGGCAGTAATGTAACACAACAATGTCGAGTAAACAGATGACGTAACAGTTTCTTAGGTAACATAACCATGCATGCAGGAGTTCATATAAAAGCTGACCAGCTTTTTGGTTGGTGACACAGCCGAGGCCGTCCCCAAAAGACGGCCAAGTCGGCACGAGTGGTTAGACTACTCGGCTACCCTGACTGAGGTTTTCCGTACTTTCCTCAGTTATAAGGTGAATGCCAGGGTATAACTTGATAGGGGCACGGCCCGCCACCCTCCCCCCCGATCATGGAGGCCATCAGCTGAAGTGATCTTCCCCCCATGCCGCAGAGG